TCGACAGGTGTAAATTCGAGAGACCTCTTGACCCAGCTACTAAATCGCAAAAGCAACCGCAAAGCACGTGAAACATCGTCAAACGTCCGGTGGAAACGAACGCGAGCGAACGTCCTTCCATACCGTCGGAACATTTGCCTTCATTCCTCAACCTTATCAGCCTACTCTAAATCTCAATCATCCGAAACATTTCAATTACCTCGTCGCGTTTCCTTGCGAAGACGAGCGTATGGAGATCGAGAGCAACGATTGCCGACGCTGAAAGGGAAAAATGAACGGGAGCGGTGCCGTATTTGCTATAATCTCGCGCGCGTGCAAAAACCGAAACGACCAAACGCAAGACGTTTGCGCCGCGCTTTCCCAAGAGCTGGCACTGTTCGAAGAAAAATCGTTCGTAGAGATAAGAGCTCGGTTGTTGTTTCGCTGGGAAATTAGTCGTTCACGTGGCACGTACGCCTCCATTTGGAGACACGCACGTGATTTAAGTTTCGTCGATCCTAGCTCGACTCTTGGGTCCGCTCACGTTTCGTTCTCGCCCTCGATCACATCATGGCGAGTGTCCGCGTTGTCCAACTGCTTACGTTTTCGTCACGCTTTGCCCTCGAAACAATCGCATTCCTCCGACCAAGCGGTCTATTCTCGGGTCTAAACTCTCGAGTTTTCTCGTGGGGTTTGACTCGAGGAGTTGTTCGAAGGTAGAAAGGACGTTCCTTCATTCCGATTGTCGCATACATTTTTATACCAAAACTATCTAGAGTCTAGATCGAGGATTGACTTTTGTTTTAATATTTCACACTTTGGTCGTCTCGTCGTAGAAATCCAAATCTTTCCAATGATTCAAAGAACGAAAATTCAATTTTCCTACGATTCAGAGGCAATTTTTAAAAACGGATTCTTTGCTCCCGGCTCAATGGTTGCAAACGTCGACAATTTTTACAAAGAGTGGAGTGGTGGGCATTGTCATTTTTTTCAAGTGTTGTTCGTTGCTTCGAAAATAGAATAATATCGAAGATATTGTCTCAATTATCTTGATAACTTGATATATAAGCTTTATAACTTTTATCTATATAGAATGATTTTTTGCAGAAAGTCATGTGATTTTAGAAAAATGTGTTTTATGATAAATGTGCAAAAATGTAAATGAAATTGTGTATTGACAATTGTAATATAAAATATTATTTCTTGACTACATCTTTTTGTTCTCCGAATCTTTGAATTAGATGTTTTCTTCTCTCTAGACCTCTCAACATTGAATCTAACAAAAACTTTAATCTCAGATGCAATTAAAATCTTAAATCAAACAGGAAATAAAATTAAATTTCTTAGGAATTTTATTTAATTTCAAACTGGAAACTTAGCTGCACGATCAATGAAAATTCGTGTGAATTTCAAATTTCTATTCTGAACAATAAATATTCAGGACTTAATCTATATTGAACTTTTCAGAATACAAAATAGGATAAATCTTTGGGATTTCGTTCTAAAATAACAACAAAAAAAAAAAAAGAAAATAATGACTGCGAGAGATTCGATGAAATACAACGCAACGAAAATTAATTACCTCGTTATCAAAATGGCAGAGTTCCAAATGATCCACATGATTCACATAGAAACAAATAAATACATATACCAGGAGGAATGTAACAAATCGAAAGATTGTTTCCCTTCATAAAATTACAACCTGTCAAATCGACTAACTTGCAAAGTCAACTGTTAAATTAATTCGTTCAAAAATATCGTTGAATCCTAAAGATATCTGTTAATATCTTGGACGTGATGTTTCCTTTAAACACTTCCTGTCGCGGTGTTTCACAACGTTGTTAGAAGCAAATCGTATCGATTTCAGATTGTTCACGATGGTAAAGTCAAGCCGACTAAAATTAATTCGTCTTTATTTGGTTTCAACTGAGCGTTCGAAATAGATAGCCATTTTCACCGAAATAACGTCGATTAAACGCAAAATATAGAAACTCTCTCAAGAAAAAGGAAATCAATTAAAGAAATCCAGGACTTTGGAATACGATATTTTCGAACTCGACGAGAGATGAGAAAAATCCAGAGGGGGGGAGAATTAAATTTTTTCGAGGAAATTGAAATTTAATATTTTTGTTAAAAGAAAAGGGGGGGAAAACAAAACGGAAGGTTTTTCGATTGAAATAGATATTGACTCAAAGTGACCAACAAGAAACCAGGAATTTTTGTGAAAAACGTACGGTCAAAATCACGGCTTTCGCCGGAAAGAAAATCAGAGGCAACGAATTTTTTGCAAACAATTTTCAACCTCGACGCTTTTGTTCGATGAAAAGAAAATTCAAATTCACTCGGCGAAGGAAAGGACAAAGTTGAAGAAAATCTACGGTAACTTCTCAAAGAGTCGAAACTAGAAAAAGAAAATCTACAGCAATTCGAAGCGAAACTTCGTAGAAATATTTGAACTCTCTTCGTCGCTTCCACGATCAACGAACTGAAAGGGAAGAAAGAAAATTCCACGACAGTTCAAAATAAAAAAAGTAAAAAACCAAGGGACGAGGTTAAAACGCGCGAATAACTGAAACGTCAATAACTGAAAAAAAAAGGGTAAAAGAAATTGAAAAGAAGAGGGGGAGAAACAAAACGACGAAAGAAATTGAAGTTCATTTGGTGAAAGTTAAAATTCAATCAGCGCTTAATAGATAACGAGAGAAAGAGAGAAAATTGAGAAAGATTGAAAAAAAAACATAAAAAAAAAAAA